GTCAACATCTTGTTAATTAGCTTGGTGTGGTTTATCCTATCGAAAGCTTTACTGAAATCAGTTATTAGTAGTGTTTGAACGCTTTTAGGGGTTTCAGCACCAAGGACTATGTAGTTAATTAAACTGGTTAGATAATGGACCGTAGACCTTCCTTTCCTGCTTCCAAACTGATTGGGATCTATCACTTTGCCTATGTCCTGAAGAATACACTTAACGATGTAGGATTCAAATGTCTTTATAAGAATGGAGGTCAGGGATATTGGTCTTAAGGTTTCGAGAGAGGCTGGTATCTTCTTAGGAACTGGGGTTATAATTGCTTGTTTCCATTGAGTAGGGACATATCCTTCATCTAAAGATGAATTAAATATATGAGATAAAACGTCACTGAACTCAGCCGCGTACATTTTAACAATTTTGGGCGGTAAGTCATCCGGACCACTACTTTTATGAGGGTTAAGTCGTTTTAATGTTTCGTATAACTCCCATGGCAAAATTGTTGGTGGTTTTGAGGGGGACGGTAAGTATGAAGGTATTGAGGTCAGGTCCAAGGGGGGTAAATCATTTACAATAGAGGAAAAATGCCTATTAATGCTATTTGCTGTGTCTTCTTCATTTGCATGAGGGTCATTGGGAAGCCTAATAGACACCTGTGGTTTACGAGAATTTAACATTTTACGGAGAGAACTATGCCACTTAGCAGGGTTATCTGTCTTAAGATGTTTTACTTTGGAGACATAGTGTTGCTTTTTTGCTTTTGTACATAGACGAATAACCTTATTACGTAGACTTCGATAAAGTGTCATGTTTCCAGTATGAAATGCATTTTGACGTCGTTTTATTGTAGATTTGATTTGGGCAGTTATCCACTGTTTGTCAGTGTTGTGTTTAACTATAGATTTATAGGGAAAATGTTTATTTATTTGGACATGTAGTATGTGGTAAAATTTGTCTATTTTGCTTTGGACATCTGGGGCATCGATGACTTCGGTCCACGGGTAGGCCGAAATCCAGCGTCCGAAGGATCGGACGTTGGAATCTCTCATTTGTCGGAAGGTGGACGTTATTTTCCTGTTGCTCGGCTTATGGTCTTTGGGCATCCATATAACGGTATTGTGATCACTAAGACCGAGGGGCTCTTCAATACGGGGATTTAAATAGAAGGACTTCAAATTTGATATTATTAAGTCAAGAACAGCCTCACCCCTAGTAGGCTGATTTACTACCTGTTCGAGCTGACTTCCATTTATAAGACTTTTGATCTCAAATCTGTTGAAATCTCCCATTACACAGATCCCCACTTGGGGGTATTTTGTACTAATCTTATCAACGCTGTCAATCAAATATTTGGCTAACATGTCCTCGTACATCGAGTTTGGAGGATTGTAGACAACACAAATGGCAATGTTTGTAATTCGACGCGATGTCCAATACGGTTTAACTAATATCCATAAACATTCTAGTTCTATAGGTGTTTCAATAAAATCAATAACTTCCACAGGTATTGTTTCTCTAACGTAAATGGCAACGCCGCCACCACGACTGGTGCGACATTTAGAGAACAGACTAAAACCATCTATATGTGTACATTCAGTTGGATGGTTGGGTGAGAACCATGTCTCAGATACTACACTTATGTCAATTCCATGTCTAGTCATTGAGTCAGCTAGATCGTCAAGCTTATTAACTAAGGACCTTGCGTTACATAGTAGAAATGATGGGAGATTTTTAACCTGTTTTACTACCATAGGCTTCTCGGGGTGCCTCGCCCTCGAAAACCCGGTGGTCTCTGCGGCGGGGCCCTCACAGCGTCGGCAAAGGACGTGTCGTCTCGAACTCTCGCCGGGCTCCCGGAGGATGTCATCCATATAATCAAATCAACATGGCCTAA